TAGATTTTTATAATAAACGTGCATTGCAAGCTTTTTCCTGCATTTTTTCTAGCGTCGACGTGGCCTGCCTGCCTTCTCGCTTCCAGGTCACGCCACCTCCTTCCCCTTCCCGTGCACGCTCCCAGGTCCCGCCACCGTCGCGGCTCGATTACCCGCCCGTTCCCAGGCCGGGCCGACGCCCCTTGCTCTTCCCCACGCAGGTCGAGCCACCTTCGCCCTGCGCCCTTCCGTGACGGGCTCACGTCCCGGTCACGTGGGCACCACAGGTGTTCCAGCACCGGATCACGTCACGGGTCCGGTTTCGATAGATTGCGTCTTGGACAGGTGACATCACTGACGTCATTTGTGTACCAGAATCGCATGTGACGTCACCCCTGTGACGGATGCTCCAGAAAACGCCAAGTCTATCTACTAATTGGGTTTAAGCGCTACTGTAACTTCAAAACTTGAATATTTTTTCACCAAAATTTGAGTTTTTGAAAAACTTCATAAGAAGTCATTAAAAGCATATTGATTCAAAAACACAATAGTGTTTACAAATTGTTGAAAATATTCGCATTAACGGCCACAGATATCAATCCAAATAATTACACTTGTGTAATAAAAAAATGGACTCTAGGTCATATTAAAAAATGCAATAGTACTACTCGTTCGAAAAGTAAAGAAAATGTTTAAATAGCGTGAAAAAATGGTGTTTGAGAGTTTTAGAAAATGTAGAATTTTGAGCTGGATTATACAGAAAACATTTGATTTTCAAGAAACTTTATGACATTATTAATAGCTCATGTACTCATAAATATAATAAAGTAAAAATGGTCATGTAAATATTAACGACGTGAGACAAGTAAAAAATACAATTTTATAATTTTTGAAAAAAATAGAGCACACTGATATTAATGTCATCTAATAGTACATTTAGAACTATTCTTAAAAAAGATTAACCGTACAGTTCATGCATTTTCAAAATTAAGTGAAAATTTTTCTCATTGTTAAAACAATGTACAGAGCAAATATTTTTTTCATTTTTGCAAATTTTGTCGACTTTATAATTTTTTTAGATTTTTTGTGCCAAATGGCAACATTATGCAATCGCACATTAAACTATTGATGTAACTCTGTTAGAACCAATATAAAAATGCCAATAAAAGCTACATAATAAACAAATTATTTGTATGGAAAAATAGTTTAAACGTAAATTAACAAATATTAATAACCTATGAATTATGTATTCGTGAGAGATCATTTGTGTACAAATGTCAGTATACATGTTTCATATTATATTTCAAGAAATATTTTTTCCTATTGTTTTGGCATAAATTATCAGGACACTGAGTATTGTGTTTTTGAGAAGCCTTTGTTCTCAAAAATTTTGTAGTGCTGCTTCTTGTCTTAATGATCAGTCCAGTGACCCACTGATGGGGTACCAAATGCTTTTAGTTTTCTTGTTATTGGTGTCTCCGCCTTTTACATAATACTTCAGACAATTAAAATCTAAATTGCTGAAATTTCAAAACTGAAGAATTTTCTGATAATTTTGCGGACCTTTTATAGGGAAGCCAGGAGTTAGTTTAGATACACCTAGAAGAAGATAACCTATTGTTATTTCCTGTTTTTCATTGTGATCTTGTCACGATCTACGAGACTATCGACTCATCGCATATGTTTTTGTATTATAACAGGGCAAGGCTCCTTACGATACTTTTTCTTCTTTTTATTGTATCTAGACACTATCTTTTCTAATTATTGCCAGCGAATGTTGATAATATCGCGAAAAGGTTGATAAAACGCGTATTACAGCACATACGTTGGTAGTAATAGTTTCTTTTGTAATATGGACCCGAACTGTTTCCGATAGTTCATACGTTTTCTTCCATTTTCACTGCCCACGATACAAATATCCGGAATTTTATTGTGACTAAAGAGTTTGACCTATCAAAACGGCATGAAATTGCATGAAGTACATAAAGAGGTTGTTACGGTATTATTAAATAATATTTCCAATAGTTTTCCTACAGCAGCCGGCCCATTAAAGCTGTCCCTCACGCGCCACTCAGGCCTGGGTATTTTCAATGCGCCGGCGACTCCCTCCCCCGATACGCTCCGCACAGCTGTGACTACGCTATTGTCTGGGAGAGCCCGTGGCACATATTGCGAGCTGGGCACCGCTTATCCCTTTAGGAAACACCCCCTTCGGGCGTCTGCGGCGCCACCCACAGGCCATGACGTAATCATTACGTCTGCCCTAGACCCACTCCAACACGATGCCAGGCAAGGCCACATGAGACAGTGAATACTGGAAATTTTCCACCGGAGTTCCCTTTAAAACGTCTTCAGCGATTGGATACATAATTTTAATGCGCACATGATTGCAACCTATCACTGACCAGATTTCCAAAATCTGTAAAACTTTGATTATCATAGTGAATCTTATCGTGAAGGCTTGCGCGAGCAGACACGGGCGGAAGCAGAGAGAATTAGGCAGACGAGGTTGGGGGGAGAAGCAGAGAGACCTCCACGGGGAGAGGTAGTGGCAGGAGAGAGGAGGTAGCAGTCAAATTCGGGCTTAGAGATTTAGTTGAACCGCAGTGTTCGCAGTTTAGTCAGGTTGACGTGCCGTGCTTGGCCATTACTGATTAGATCAACCGCGATTTCAACTAGAATTCACCTCTGATATAAGTACGAAGGACTTACCAGCCGTTAACGCCGCTCGCAGCACCGATTACGACCACTATTATTTACTCGTGACGCGGAAGCGACTTGGGCACCCGCCGCGATCGCCGCCCGCTGTCGTCAATTGCCATCGTCTGGAGGATGTTGGCCCGGCCACCTGAGCGGAGCCACCTGGTCTGCCCGCGCCCTCGCGGGCTTGGAGCGGCCGCCACCCGGATATTCGCTGTGAGGCAAGCGACCTTCACCCGGGAGATCAACGCATTCGAGACAACCAACACGGTGACATTTTCAAGAGCGTTAGCTAATAAGCTCTCAACTGCCCCTCAAGATATTTAAGCAAATTGATTCTTAAATTGCAGTGCTAATTGCTAAAGAAAGAAAAAATTCTTAGCTCGCAAGTAAAGACTGCGATACAAATCATGTAAACTCTGTCATAAAATTCAGTTTAATAATTTTGGATCATCTCTGTGGGAAATTTTATACGAGCTCGTGCTAGGACTAGGGAAAGTATTGTAAATGTTAATTTTATTTAGGTCATAAAAATTGGATGTTAAACTCGTCTCGTAAAATTTGTACATTGAAACAACGTCCGCCCGCCATCCCTTGTTTTCAGGCCACCTTTCCCAGGTTTTCAGGTCATACAAAGAGGGAGAAACAAGGAAATAAAAGTTTTCAAATTTGATGCTCCATGTGGAGCAAATGACGCGCTCAGACTTCAAGAAAGAGCAAATCAAACAGGTGTTTCCAAGAACATCGGAAATCGGTCAAATTAATTTTGTTAAACTGGCAAATTTACTGTCCCCTAACAAGCACAGATTTTTAATTCCGTTGGTTGTTTGCGCACTTGAGCGCTTTAAAGGCGCCGTAGGACCTCTTTTAATCGTGTGTGTGTGTGTGTGTGGAGGGCTACCAGCTGCTTTTAAGGGATTCCAGAACCTCAAGGACGGCTGTGACTTTTCAATCGATATCTCGCTGCATTATTTTGGGAACAACTACCGCTCAATTTTTACCAACTAATGTACTAACTCACTGGTTTCTAACCTATGTAGTAGGTAATTTCAGAGAGAGTTGGGACTTTCAAATTAACATTTAATAGAGTTACAGCGGTACCAGAAGGCTCAGCAATGTTAAAGGATGTATGACGTAACAAGGGGAACGTCCCAGAACTCTAAGCAATGTAAAGTGGCATACGTGCGCCCCGTAATTGCATTTTCATGACGACAGAGCTGTCCCAACCCCCATACTTAGCAGTTTATGGTGTTACGGTGGTCCCAGAACGCTCAGCAATGTTAAATGGAGTATTTCGTAACGAGGGGTACGTCCCAGAACGCTCTAAGTGAGGGCATTGACATCAGAGCGGTCCGCAATGTTAAGTGAAAGTTCTAATGACATTGAGTGAGGGTGCGGACGTGACAGACAGAGCGCGCTAGTCACAAAAATAAAAAAAACCCTCTTTGAGAGTATTTAAAAGGGAGTTGTCGGTCGGTAATCATTACATTCACGCGCACCACCAATTCAACAACAACCTAAAAAAAATGTCTGAAGTGACTGACGTTTACTTCGACTCTGAAGATGACGACGAGGTGTTTGACGAGTCAACGTCCGTGGAAGTGGAGGAGGCGGGGTGCGAGGATTCTACGAAACCACGCGACCTGGAAGGTCGACGCGTGATCAACCTGGGCGATCGGTTGACGCCCAAGATGCTGCGACGAAGCTGTTGTGGATAATGCAATTCTACAAAACGCGCGGGAATCAAAACCTCCTACTTCAAGGAGGCAGATAAAGAGGACTCGACGACATGCGGTCCGTATTTAGTCATAATTATCAGCCACAAACGCATTATTTACGTCAATGGCAATTCCCGGACCATTAATGCGGGATCTTTTGCGTATTTCGAATGTTGGCAAACCCCGAGGAAGACCGCGATGCTACACCGAGATCGTACGTGGACTGCAAAGTGAAGGAACTGAAAAAAGAAATTGATAAACTTCCTCCAATCCGGTTGAGCAAGCAAGGAAATGTTAACATGCGAAAACTACGCCTGGTCAACGTGGCCCCTCCCCGCAACAAGGACGACGGAGTAACTAAACAATACGTAGACGCCAACATGAACCTCTTTACACGCAGTGCCTTGCCGCAAGATAATAATTTTAATCAACAACGAATCATCAACGTGGCTGACCCCATCGAGGAAACTGATGTCGTCAACTTAAGGACCTTACGTCGTTTCTTGAATATAAACTAAATTTTATGATAAATGTTTGTCTGTAATGAAATGAAATGACAATGTAAAACAATAAAAAATAAATGAATTTAAAAAATATAGTGAGATTAGTGTCTTTAGTCCCACTCTATTCTTCCCTCCCTCCCTTAAAAAAAGTGATTAGTTTAAATATTTTGTTTTTAGAGATAGCTATAGAAGGAAGAGGACCCTGCCTGGTGGAGAACGTAGCGGGGGAAAAAAGTAGTGTTCATATGAAATAAGCTTTTTATTCTTCCAAACATTTTTCAAAAAACATTGAACAAAACAACAATACAATAGAATATTACTTTAAATACTGTCCATCCCAAACACAAAAACTTCATTTCCTACGTGCTGACTGAGGTCAATGTCGCGTAGGTAACGCACTCGAATGTCCAAACCCAGTCTTCTATGAAGATCCAAAAGTGCTATACTACGCGGATTTTCAATTCGCATTACGTTTTGCAGAAGGCGAAGCACAATAGGGTCATCAAGAGAGAGGTTGCTGATATCAACTAGCCCCCCTTCCTCGTCTTCACTATTAGTACTTTCCCACTCTTCATATTCATTTGTCTGCGGTTTATGTATCAAGACGTATCTACACATGGGGCAAGTTTGATGACTCGTCAACCATTGTTTAATACATTCATCGCAAAAACGATGTTTGCAAAGTGTTTCAACCCACCGCGTAATATTGTCTTTATGACAGATTGGACAAATGATCTGTGGACAAATACTGTCGCTGTTCACCTCAGAGAAAGGAGGAGGAGGAGGAGTTCCCGTTGTCGTCTCCATGTCAAAGCAATAAAACATACGTTAGGTGGTGGCTCACCGGCGTCGGCAACCGTAGCAGTCTCGCTTGGCGGGTGGCGGTCCGTCGATGTGCGTGCGGCCCTTGTTGTAATGTTCCAGGCAGGGTAGAAGTTCTTGAATTGATGACAGTTGTTGTATGTGAAGAGGTAGGCGAACGTAGACGTGAGGCACCTCTCTCGCCGCCCAATGTGTCAGGAACGTGACGGGAAGATGAGCCAGACTGTCGTCATCCAGGTG